AAATACTCAGTCCAATCCTGAGCCACAACAGGGTATTAAGCCATGTCTGTTCAGAATTAATTCACTATCTTGTTTGAGGACAAACAATAATTCAAGTTTGGAGGGTTTGATAAGTGTGTTTTTGTACACTTATTTAGGTCACAAACATGACTTAATAACGAGCAAAATGATTGAATTGTGACTTAATCTCGTACATTTGTGAATTGTAGGGAACAACGATAAACATGGTGAAATTCAGGAGAAAAGACGCGAAAAAGGACTAAAATGACACAAAGTGAAAGTTCAGGGACCAAAGTGCAAATATTCAAAAGTTGATCCGATGAACAAATCGAGAAATTGATCAACCCAATTACCAATTGACGATATCGTAGGATGATGAAATGAAAAGAATGAAGAGAAGATGCCAAGAAGTGAAGGATGCAAGTGGGAGGACCAAAACGCACATCTGTCATAGTTAATAGTACTATCCTCTATGCGGTCGCATAGAAGCATACCGAAGCTTAAATGGCTAAATATTTTTACTTTATGCGACCGAATAGAACAATATTTTTAGGGTCCTATAAATACAAAAACTCGACCAGAACGTAAGGGACGCCGTTTTTACATGTTTTTGAGAGGATTTGAAGGAGAAACGAAGGATAGAACAAGAGAACAATATTGTTCCAAGTGAAGATCGGATTGAAGATTGATTCGGGTGATGTCGTTTCTTCAAATATTTTTATATTTTATTCTTTTTAGCATGTTAGGCTAGATTTATCATTGCTAGGAGATCGATGAACCTTGTAATACTACGTTTAATTGTTGTTTTGGATTTTTGACGTATTTGAACACAAGTTCCGGATTTGATTGATTTATTACTTTTTTTTTCATATGATTATTGTGAACGTAATTATATGATTGTGGTGGCCTGTTTTATGCATTCGAAAGAGAAAAATAGGTTCGACATAGTATAAATCATCATTGGGTCCGATAGGGAACCTCTATGCCTTGTGTGAATCATTGGATATTCGTGAATTTATAATGCATGTCGATATGTTAATATTCATCATAGAAATATAGTTGAATCATATATTGGGATAGGTTTGACATTCCTCGAGAGAGATTGCTAAATTAAAATAGGAATATTGATTCATCTTTTGTGGAACCGTGTGTCAAAGTTGCATAATTGACAATTGAACGGGTATTGCTTGGGGATTCGTGATCCTAGTGTGTTAGTATACTCATTAAATCCATAAATTTTAGTAAATTGCATCCAAGTAATTTTCCATTTGGTATAATTCTTCATTCATACTTGCATCAAAGGTTACATCACGTTAGTTAAAGTACAAAAAAAAAAAAAAAAAAAAAACCTCAATTTGATTTTAGTGTTTCGGTTAAGGTCATAATAGGTTAATTCGAACTAATTCAATCATTGTGGGATCGATACTTGGACTCATAGTCCATTTCACTACTTGTTAACGAACTGTACACTTGCGGTGGATTTTAAATCGGAACAAATAATTTTGTGAACAGAAACCTCAAATAAGTGTAAAAATTTACACTTATCAAGTACGTCCAAGTTTATGTTCTTACCATTCTTTTTTTATTCTCCTCTTGTAAGAGTTTGACTAGACCCACCTAGATAGATGTGGAGTTTTCTCGTAACTCATTCATGAAAATTGGACACTGGGTTGAGACATTTCATTGAAGATTTCTTAAGTATTTAAACGGGCAGAATATGACTAAAATGACTATAAATACAATCTTTCTAGGGAAAAATTCATAACTAAGAGTTTAAGTATCACACATTTCAAAATCAAGAAAACAAGTTTCAAACTTCAAAAATAAGATTTTTATTTAAATATATTTTGGTCACAGATCTATAGACTTTGATCATAAATTAACGATTTAATTAGTCACTTATAATTTTTTGGTCGTAAATTAAAAATTTTATGTCATAAATTACTTTACGGTCACAATTTAAAAATTTTATAAGTCACAGTTTGTTCATTTGTTACAAATCAAAAAAATTTATAAGTCACAATTTATTTATTGATCAAAAATAAAAAAAATATTATAAGTTACAACTTATTATACAATCACAAATTATCGATCACAGATTAATAAATTTTTAAGTCACACATTATTTCTTGATCATAATTTATCTTTTATTATTGATTACATATTATTTATTAGTCATAGATTAACCAATTTAATGGTCACAGTTAATCAAATTATTTGTGATCACCATCAAAACTTGTCACCACCACCTCACAACTGTCAACAATTGCAACACCACCAAAATCGTAGCCGCCAGAACCACCACCACATCTCACCCCACCCACTACTACACCATACCATAACCAAAGCTAACATCACAATGATCACCATTACTACCAACAAAACATATCCCAAAATCACCACAGCAACCTCACCATCACTACAAAAAATACACACCTCAAAATCACTTCACAACCACCACAAAATTAGATCCAAACTTGCTGTAGCTCTGATCGACTTCCACTACTGCAAAAACGACGCTCATGCCTTGAGCAATGCCGCCCAAAAACAGGCACCACAATCACCACTATAACCTCACCACCACTACCAACAAAACCACCAATGCGACAAAGAGAGAATCGAACAGCGAAGAGAGACGGAGTGGAGAAAAAAAGACAGGAATGGCAAAAGGTAGTCTTGATGTGTGAGATTCACTTGGCAAGAAAGTCGGGATTAGTGAAAGGCAATGTCGCTCCGTAGCGGCATTGGCTGTTTAGATTGACGCCACAACGGTGGTGGCGCCTTGAGCACTGACGCTGGCTGCTTTAGGGTGACGTCGCTGCGATGGTAACATCTTTAGAGCTATGGCATGGTGCCAATGTTGATAAGTGTGTTTTTGCACACTTAGTCGAGTCATAAAACATGACTATTTTCTAATAGATATAGTGGAATATGGCTTAATTCTATTAAATCTTGTTTTATAGGATTATCTTGATGGATATGATGGAATTCAATAGAAAGGATGTGAAAATGGCCAAAATAGAGAAAAATGAAAGTCTAAGAACCAATGTGCAATTATCCAAAAGATAACTCGAAGAAGGAATCAACGACTTGAATAAGTTAAGTACCAATTGGATGCTCTCATGAATTGATGGAATGAGAAGAATCAAGAAGACTAAAATAATCAAAAGTGGAAGATCACTCTACTATGCGGTTGCATAGTAGAGACAGCCATGCGGCCGCATTCAGAGCAACAGAAAATTTAAGTGCCTGAACCGACTTATCTATGTTGTCGCATAGATCATTTCTAGGGCCGAATTCTGTAGTTTCCTGTTTTCATTAAAACCTTTGTAAAACTTTGTTGGGACTCGATGTATAAACCTAAAACCGTCAAATTGAAAGGAGAATGCCTGGGGAAGAAGGAAAACTCATATTGGAGAGGATTTTACACCATAATCAAGAGGAGAAAAACGAAGATCAAGGAGATTACAAGCCAAGTCATACACCGGTGATGCCGTTTCTTACGACTATTATGCATTTTGCTATTTCTCCATGTTAGGCTAGGTTTTCATGTTCTAGGAGATCGATGAACTTCATAATGTGATTTTTAATTTCTAGTTTTTACAAATTTGACATCAAAACACATTTTTTGAGTTTTGAATGATTTATATACAATCAATTGTTTCAATAATTATGTGCACGTAATTATATGAATATGGTGATTTATTTCATGCATTCGAGAGAAGGGGAATGAGTTCGACATGGTATAAATCATCGTAGGTCCGATAGGGGATAGAGATATACCGTTATGCGTTGCGTGAATTCTTAAACGCTCACAAAACTACATGTCTTCTTGTATACTTACATCCGTCATAGAGATATATGCTAGTGACATATGAAAATAGGTTCAACTTTACTCGAGAGAGATCATTAGATAGAGTTAGGAGTATTGATTATTCAAAATGTCAATGTGTTGTCAATTACGTGGGGATTCGTGATCCTAGTGCGATTCTTATTCATTGATTTCATCAAATTTGCATCTAACATTCATTTTTGCATTCGAAGTCAAGTGAGTAATACATATCTGCTTACTAGATCAAAATTAGGGTTAAGTCAAGTCATCACAAATCTTGTTCTATCATTCAATTTCGGTTAAGGCAATTAGATAAAATTAAACTACACAATCTTTGTGAGATGACATTCAAACTCAATTTTTTCACTTTATTACTTGTTAACAAACCATATACTTGCGGTAATTTAAATCAAAATATAATTTCATGAACAAACATCATGAGCAGCATGGTGCCGACGATATCTTAATGATGATGTACGAGAAAGAAGAGAGAAGTGAGAGATGGAGAGGATGATGATTAGGGTTTTTGTATATTTAGTTTTTTAATATATTAATTAATTAATAAAACATTTGATTTTTTAACAATGAAATATCCCATCTGATTATAAAATTTTAAAGTAGGGCGTGGTGTAATTTCTATGTCTTTATAGAGGATTTGGAATTTTGGAAAGTTTTAAAAATCAATATGAGCTCTCTCAAATGGCCCAAACTATTTTGGTAGGCCCAATCCAATTCTAAATTCACCTTAAGATACGAGAGGAGGCAATGGGCCGAGATGATATGGTACACTATCCAACCATTCAAGCTTGATTCGGCTTGTTGACTACTACATTCGAATAGTAAACTATAATTCGCTTATATGACAGATATAAGAAGGGTACTCTTCGGACATGAAAATGAAGAAACAAATTCAAGTCCTCAGTAAATATAAATTTTATTTACAATTAAAAATTAATTTATTAATGAAAGGGTATATGCTGAGAATAAATGGAGCTTCTTTTCTTCGTAAGTCCACAATCCATTCCACCTACTTAAATCAAACATATCAGAACAAGTCAACAGATCCGACGAATAGAATTAACTCCACTGAATCAACGGCATCTAGATAATGCTATATGACGCTATGAAGCCAGCAAAAAATTTTACTTCCAGAAAACCCCCTCAGATTTTACAAAAAATATCAATTTGGTCCCCGAATTTCTGCTCCATAGTCCTAGAGTTCAGATCGAAGGCAATTGTATTGAAGATTCATTGAAATTCAGTTTGGAGTAAAATAGATCATATGGAGAAGGAAAAGAATTTGGAAGAAGAAGAAGAAGAAGAAGAAGAAGAAGAAGAAGAAGAAGAAGAAGCAATTGAGCTGGTTCTATTTCAAGTATCTGAATGTTACATTTATTTGGTAATTTCTTTTTCTTTTTGGATTTTTTTATTAGAATGATGGGAGGGTTTGTACAATTATTTTAATTAATTATTTAATTATTTATTTTTTTCCAGTTAACTGGGGATATAGATTTTGGAAATAAAACCCTACATTTTTGTTATATTTCAATATTGAAAGAGATTTGTTCAGAAAGCTGTTAATATCGAAGGATATCAGGCATTATGAAATCGATTTATTTTTAGTTGACACTATTTCTTTATTTTAGAATTGCATAAATTAATTCGCTGTGTGCTGGCCATTTGATAATATTGCCTTCAACCTATTTGATTGTCTTTCACGAACTAAATTCCATTGATATGTACTAGCCCTTTGATAATACTGCCTTAAACCTATTCGATTATATTTCACGAACTAAATTTCATTACTCAATCGTTTACCCCACGTGACTAGACCTAGTATTTGGACATTTGCTTTTCTATTTTATTAGCATTAGTAGTATTAGCTTGCGATCGAGCCATAAGTAACCCCAACCTTTAAATTGACAAAATAACAAAAAAATAAAAAAAATAAATAAATAATAAATAAATAAATAATAATAATAATAATTTCAATAACTAATTTTTCGGTTGGCACTAGTTGATTGTTGATTATTGATCTCAGTAGTGCACTTTACGTAGTCGTGTTACCGTGTATGCAATTGCGTAGTGGTCGCGTTACTGCCTCTAACTCTAGTAACCTTGCCATGGACCCCGCCCAAATTGAGGCCCTCACCAGACAGCTTGCACAATTACAAAATCAACTAACAGCTGTCCAAACTGAGGTAGCCACTACTCGTGAAGAGAATAGAGCCCTAACCGCTAGGTTGAATACTCTTGACCCAATCCCATATTCGACTGAGCCTGAGAACTCTGAGGCTTCCATTAATAGGCCTCATCGTCGCCCACAAGGTGGTCGACACCACGCCCGACATGGTCGTAGGGAAGGGAATCAGGCTCGGGAACGAGAGCGGGGGTATTATCGTCATGGTACACAATCTCCCCCTCGCCACGAGGAGCGCCTCTTTCGAAACATTAAGTTGGATGCCCCTACGTTTGACGGTTGTCTAGATCCTAGTGCATTCAATCAATGGGTTAGAGATATGGATCGCTTCTTTGCATGGTATGGGGTCCCGGAAGATCGGAGGGTACAATTTGCCAGTTTGAAGTTAACTGGCACTGCTCAGCTCTTTTGGGAGAGTGTTGAGGACCTCCTTGAAAGGCGTCATGCTCCCCCTGTTGGGAGTTGGGATGAAATGAAGCGTCGCCTTCAAGAAAAATATTTACCCCAATCTTATAGGGGTAACTTGCTGGATCAATGGAACGCACTTACACAAGGCAATCGACCTGTGACCGAATATGTGGCTCAGTTTGATGAGCTTCGAATGAAATGTCAGGTTGTTGAGGATGAAGTTATGACTTTAAGTAGGTTTAGGCAAGGCTTAAAAGACGAACTTAGGCGCGAGCTTGTCCTTAGGGGTGTCACCACTCTCGACCACGCCTACTCTTTCGTTCGAGATTATGAACTAGTGACTAGGACACCGTATAGAAATCGTAGTGACTCCCGCACTACAACCTTGAGGTTTCAAGGACATCCTCTCGTTTGCAATGCTTCAACTGTAAGGGTTTTGGTCACATTGCTTCTAAGTGCCCTAGCCGAGCCCTAGTTCTGGACGAACGTGAGGATATAGTCGTCGAACCACTAGAGGATCAGGTTTATGAGCCTAAGTTAGAAGAGTTTGAAGACTTGGAGGACAGTGAGGATACCTTCATTCAGGCTAGTCCCATTATCCCACATACACCCAGAGTCGGTGTCGTCCGTTGCACCCTCACCCAGCCTAAGGATGCCGACGATTGGCGCCGTCATGCCATCTTCCACACCTACATCAAGATTAATAACAAGGGCTGTAAAGTTATCGTGGATAGTGGCAGCTGTATTAATGCGGTTTCGAAGGCTACTATATCCCGTCTAGGGTTGAAGCCAGTTCCTCACCCCCAACCTTATAGTGTCTCTTGGGTTGACACCTCCTCTATAGCTGTTAAGGAGCGTTGTTTAGTCCCTATCCAGTTCCTGGAGTATAAGGACCATATATGGTGTGACGTTATTTCGATGGACGTCGGGCACATCATCTTAGGACGACCTTGGCTATTTGACCTAGATGTAACCATATATGGTCGATCCAATTCCTGCTCCTTCGTGTTTAATGGAAAGAAGATTCACCTTAACCCACTACCCCTAAAGCCGGCTAGCTCACCAGAAGCGAAGAAAAGTGTAGAACAAAAGGGGTTGCCTATCATTAGTCCTACAGAGTTTGAGCGTACAATTGTTGGTGACTCAATTGTGTTCGTCTTAGTAGTCATGGAGGTTTCATCTAACTCCACAAGTGAAGATACTGCGGAAGTCCAATCGATCCTTCAGGAGTTTCGAGATGTCTTTCCGGAGGACCTACCTGATCATCTACCTCCGCTAAGAGATATTCAACATGCCAAAGATTTCGTCCCCGGTGCATCCCTTCCAAATTTGCCACATTATAGGATGAATCCTACCGAGCACGCTGAGCTCCAAAGGCAAGTAGATGACCTTCTCAACAAAGGATTCATTCGTGAGAGTTTAAGCCCATGTGCAGTCCCCGCCCTATTGACGCCCAAAAAGGATGGATCTTGGAGAATGTGTGTGGATAGTCGCGCTATCAATAGGATCACGGTGAAGTATCGTTTTCCCATTCCCAGGCTTGATGATATGCTGGATATGATGGTTGGCGCGACAATCTTTTCAAAGATCGATCTAAAGAGTGGGTACCATCAAATTAGAATTCGCCCAGGGGACGAGTGGAAGACTGCGTTTAAGACGAAAGATGGCCTTTATAAATGGCTGGTCATGCCTTTTGGGCTAAGTAATGCGCCGAGTACCTTCATGCGGGTAATGACACAAACTCTTCGGCCGTTCATGGGTAAGTTTCTTGTTGTCTACTTTGATGATATCCTCATCTATAGTAAAACCAAGGAGCAACATCGTGACCACCTCAAACAAGTTTGCTCTACCCTTCGCGAGACTAACCTGTATGCTAATGTCAAGAAATGTTCCTTTTTCACCGATAGCGTAGTTTTTCTAGGGTTCATCGTCTCGTCGACAGGAGTGTCTGCTGACCCTACTAAGATTCAGGCGATAATTGACTGGCCTGAGCCTAAGGCCATTCATGATGTCAGGAGCTTTCACGGCTTAGCTACATTTTACCTCCGTTTTATTAAAGGGTTTAGCACTATTATGGCGCCTATCACGGAGTGCATGAAAAAAGGGGAGTTTCATTGGACACGCGGGGTGGCGAAGGCCTTTAAGTTAATCAAGGAGCGAATGATAGAAGCTCCTGTCATGCGTCTTCCCGATTTTTCCAAAGTCTTTGAAGTTGAATGTGACGCTTCTGGGGTAGGTATAGGCGGAGTCTTAAGTCAGGATCGTCACCCTGTCGCCTATTTCAGTGAAAAGTTAAATGAGGCCAAACGACGATATTCAACGTATGATAAGGAACTGTATACGGTGGTCCAGGCTTTGCACTATTGGCGCCACTACTTGTTGCCCCAAGAATTCGTCCTTTATTCGGACCACGAAGCCCTCCGTTACCTCAACTCTCAGAAGAGATTAAGTTCTAGGCATGGACGTTGGGTTGAATATTTACAGGCCTATTCGTTCGTTTTAAAACACAAGAAGGGCGTGGAGAACCAAGCAGCTGACGCGTTAAGTCGTCGTGTCTCCCTTTTGTCGATCATGAGTGTCAAAGTCATTGGTTTTGAAAGGCTTAAGGAGGATTACGAGGCATGCCCAGATTTTAAGGATATCTTTCTCGATTTGCAAGGAGGACAATCAAACGGCACAGATGGCTTTCGACTTGAGAAGGGTTATCTCTTCCGAGCCAATAAATTGTGCATCCCTCGAACTTCAGTTCGAGATTTTATAGTGTGGGAAGTTCACGCGGGAGGGTTAGCCGGTCACTTTGGGCGTGATAAGACCATTGAGGAGGTTGAACGCCAATTCTATTGGCCTAGTTTAAAGAGAGATGTGGCTAAAATTGTTAGTACATGTAACACTTGTCAATTGGCCAAACAGAAGAAGCAGAACACAGGCCTATACACTCCTCTCCCCGTCCCCAATTGTCCTTAGCAAGACGTTAGTATGAATTTTGTGCTAGGACTGCCACGCACCCCAAAGAAGCATGATTCTATTTTCGTGGTTGTCAATCGTTTCTCGAAAATGGCTCACTTTATCCCCTGTAGCAAAACATCGGATGCTTCCAAGGTTGCCATGTTATTCTTTAATGAGATTGTCAAACTGTATGGGCTTCCCAAGACCATCGTGTCCGATAGGGAAGTTCGCTTCACTAGCCATTTTTGGAGGACTTTGTGGCATAAGATGGGTACCAAATTAAAATTTTCTACAGCCTACCACCCTCAAACTGACGGTCAGACCGAAGTTGTTAATCGGAGTCTTGGTAACCTATTACGTTGTCTGGTTCGGGAGAACCTTCGGAATTGGGATTTAATCCTTCCGATCGCTCAAATCGCGTATAATAGCTCCGTAAATCGTTCATTAGGTATGAGTCCATTTAAAGCCGTTCACAGATACAAGCCTAGGAAACCATTAGATCTCATCCCTATGTCCCCACGGGCTAGAGTGTCAGTATCAGCCGAAGCATTTGCACAACACCTTCGTGATTTGCACATTGAGATCAATAAACAACTTGAAGCTAGTAATGCAAATTATAAACTACAAGCTGATTTACATAAACGACACATTGAGTTTAATGTTGGGGATTACGTTATGGTTCGAATTAGGCCAGAGCGGCGTCTACATGGACCCGCCTCCAAATTGCAAGCTCGTAGTGCTGGTCCTTTTAAAATTTTAAAGCAAGTTGGTCCAAATGCATATATTGTCGACATTCCATCCCACATTGGTTAACACCATACTTTCAATGTTGAAGACATTGTAGCTTATAAAAGCCATTTCATTCCCTCAGATGATCCCCTGTTACCTCCTTTTGTGGACCTTGATCCTAATTCTTTGGCCCCCTCTAACCCACTACCACCTATCACAACACACACAGATAAAATTGATGCTATTTTAGATGAAGAAATTGTGTTCACTAATGATGGAGAGGTTCAGCGCTTCCTTGTTCGTTGGGTTGGTCGACCAGATTCTGATTGTGCATGGATCTCCAGGGAGACACTACAACATTTGGATCCAGATTTGCTAGAGCTTTATCGGAGTCAGCAGGATCTTCCTTGGCCCAGATCGCCTCCCGTCCACCCGAGGGGAGTTGGTGAGGACACCAGGTTCAGACCGCCACTGACGCATTTCTACAGACGCAGGAAGAAGCTTGCCCAGCCACTCAGCTTATGGTTGGGAGATTGACAGATGCCTATGGTGAAATAGCCACTCGACAGGGTCGAGTTTTCTCTCCCACCCCGGGAGAATTGATGAGGACATCCAATTTTAATTAATTTTAGCAATTTTAATTATTTTAGTTGGAATTTAGGTTATTTTAATTTTATGGACTTGTGTATTGGGCTTAACCCTAGGTTTGTATTATTTTCCAGTATTTAAACCTATCTTACATTGTTATTTGAGATGATGAATTTTGATTAATTAAAGATTTGGCTTGCAACCGTTTTGCCCTCTTCCCCTCCTCTATATTCTTCTTCTCTTCCCTCCCCCATCCCTTCTTGTTATCCACAGATTTATTAATCTCCCTACATCACATGTATTTTGAATAAATTATTGTACTAGTATAGTGGTATAGCCACACATCCATCTTAACATCCTCATTCCATCATGCATTAATCTTATGTACATTTTTTTCTTAACAGCCAATCATCAATTCTATAAAGTGTATCAAATCTAGTACATATTCTACGTAAATTGTATTTTACCTTTTATTAATATTCCTATCATAATGAAAAGCTCAAACAACTGAGATATGAATGTTATTTCATATTAAATCTTATTGCTTAATGGTTCCATATGTGTAATCCAAAACTGAACTGAGTGCATTGTCATTTGAGGTTCCTTTTATTGGTCACTTATCTGGATAGTGTTGAAGTTATTTTGATATCAACCTAATATCAACCTAATATTTCTCTTAATTGATGATCCCTCCACGGAAAATCACAGCTTCTTACAGGTTTTCTCTCTAATGTCTTCGATATAATATCTCTACTATGATTCCCATAAAAGATATTTCATCTTGCTCATATTTTCCCTTCTATGCATTGTTGGATAACAATTTAGATTTATGTTATACATATAACCACAAACTATTTGTTGAGTGTGACATAACCCCTAAACGTGTTTGCATGAGTCCTTGTTGCAATAAAAAGTTGAAACTCTGAATTTTGATAACAAACACAAGTAAATTAATTGATTTTTTTTCCTTGAATTAAGTGTGGCATATTATACAACCAAAATTTATTGAAGAAATATGATGTGAGCATAATTGTATTTTCATGCACTTTCCTCTTGTGCATTTAAAAGACGAGCTTGCAACATGAATTTCAGAACTACCTATAGTGGTTAGTTCCTTGAAGTGTTAGTTGGTATCTCACAAATTTTGAGTCATTTGGAGTATGTTTGATTGTGATGCAGCAAAATTGTACCAAAGATATATTGTGAAGCTAGATGTATCATGTTGCGTATATATTAGAGGTACTTATCAAACAAATTTTTCATACTTGGAGAGTCTGTTACGATGTGAAGATGTTTCTCACCAAATTTCAGAGCTAGTTGAGGTTGCTTGAATGAAAAATTACTTTGTTGTTTCAACAAGTTCTGAAGAGTGAAAAACAGAGAGCTGGATCCATATGGATGCAATAATTTCATGGGTGCATCATCACGAATAATAGTTTTATTCTAAGAGGAAATAATTCTCTTGCTCCTATCCTTTGGGAGAAACAATATTTGTGATCCAATATAAGTTTCTCCTAACCTTTTGATGAGTTCATCATATGTAGAAATTCCCTTTGGAAGCTTATATTGAAGAATTCGGGCATTTGCTGCCTACAATTGGATCTATGATAGGATTATGCTTGTCAATAAAGGATCAAAGCTCTCTAAAGTGTAAAATAGGTAAAAAGGCTTTTTTATGGACAAGTTAATGTGAACAACTTTTGCAAAGAAGCAACATTATTTCAACCTATAGTCAATAAGCTTGTTCAATCTGATAAATGAAAATTCTTCATTGTGCAATCTTTTCCATCTTGGGACTTGTTAGAAAATGAAACGAACATGTGAACAATGTTGATCATTTATCGCAAATGTTTGCAGTCTACAATTTATTGGTTTTAGTTATAGTCAAGAGAGGACTGCTACAATTAAACCAGCGATGTTTCATGGGATTGAATATTTGACTTTTAAGAAACATTTACAAAATTTGAGATGAGAATGTTAAGAGAAATTTTCTGTATAACTTTAAGAGATAGAGTTAGTATTGAGCATATTTTACAAGTTGTTAAACTGACACTAATTGTAGTGTGCGGTTCAATTAAGATAGTTGGACATATTTGATGGAGGGTTCTAGATACACCAGTTATGAATATATTTTGTGAGAAATATTGAGGAAGAGGCCTACATAATTTAAGGTAATTAAAAAAATATTTCGAGCTTTTGTGATTTGGCCTTGGATGTGGCTCTTGACACTGTAGAGTGAAAAAGAATCCATGAGGTCAATTGCACAGAAGTATGGGATAAATCTTTGTAGAGTTGAGTAATGGTCCAGCAAAGAATAATTTATCTTCAGGACTGCATTAGAAATTCTCTAATTTTCTTTTTTGTTTTTTGGTTAAAGCTTGTCTAAATTAATCTAAACAAAAACATTTCAATGAACCGAGCAACGGTCATTATATGGCCATTTAGCAAAATTTTTGAGTGTGTATATTTAATTCTCTATTTCCAATACATAAGCTTGCTACATTGTTATGGTTGTCGCCTTTTACATTACATCTAAAACTAGAATGTGGAGATGTAGATGACGTACTTGTTGCTGCAAATTCATTTAAGGGATGGGGGTTGAAACTATAATCGAACTTTTCTTTCTTGTAGGGCTGATGAGTGGAATGTCAATAAATGGGCATGGGAAGGCACTCTAAAAGTTATTAGCAAAGGAGAAGAATGCATTATCCGATTAGAAAACAAGAAGACAGGTGGATTTGTTGGAGTTCAATAAAAGTTAATGTTCCATAACTTTTCTCAATATGTTTTGTTGCTGATCACAAATATGTCTAAAATAGGTGAATTGTATGCTCGGGCATTTTTGAGAGATAGGGAGCCACACCCTGTGGAGCCTGTAATTGATAGCAGCAGGTTTGCAAAACTAATCACCATATTAATCACTTCTTATGAGAACAATTTTTGAAATGCTTAAAAGTGGTGTGATGTGGTGTTTCATTTGAGACTTCTGGTATTTATATTTTACAAATTCTATTGACTTCAAAACCAGCAACCTATTTTGCTCTCTAACTCATTTTGCTAATTCTGTATTGTTGCAGATATTTCGTTGTTCGAGTAGAAGAGAATATTGGTAATATAGAATTTTCATCTCTTTTTTAAAATTATTTTTTCCATTAAAAGTTTTATTTCCTTCATGTTTTCCGATTAATAGTAGCAAAATAGAGCCATAAAGATTGTCTAACAATGTTTTATTTTTGTTTTCCATTTCACTTCAATCTAATTGCATGGGCACTTCACCAATGAATGTGCATGACAATCTAACGGTCCACTACATAAGAGCCAAGATTTTGATCTTATATCTCCTTGCAAAAAGTATCTTCGCCCCTAATGGAATTAGCTGGGTGTTCTTTTATAGTCTTTTCAGTGGATAAAGGGACTATTTTAGTGATTAGTATAGCAGTAAGAGATGTCGAGTGACAATACGTATAAATGTATGTCTCTATACACTTGGATGGAATGCCAATATATATCTTTCCTGTAATTTTATTCTTTGACCCATTTTTTGGACATTGCATAAGAGATGCCAAGCGATGCACTTTCCAGGACAATTATGTGCATTAGTTTTTAGCTTATTGAATGGTATATTATTTGATAATTTTTAATCCATGTGGCACCTGGATAACATCCCATAAAAAGGAACAAGAAACTTCTCTGCACTCAAACATGTTTTGATTGAATTTTAAGGTTGTCCTATATAGCTAGAAATTATATGTGTTGATTTCTCTTGGATATACTTATTACTATTCATTTCTTATTTTTCTTCTCCAAGTATCATCTTATATTGTAGACATATCACATATGTTACTTCAACCCTTCTGCTATTCCATCAAGGTAATGCAAAATCAAACCTACATTAGTTTTATTGTGGAAAATATTTTGTTCTAGTTATTTTGAGAAGATACCTTCAGATTCTGCATAATTTTTTGAAACCATTACCTCCAACACCCCAACCTGGGTCATGAAGAAGTTTGAAATCAAAATTTTCATGAAGCCTGTTTTGCATCTTTGGTGTTTTTTGTAATCTCTTGCTATATTACAATTGTTTGCATTACTAAAGGCTTGTGGTTAATAGACATGATATGAGGCTGCCTCAATATCCTGCTGAGCTTTTAGGACTTCTGTAATCGTTACTTTAGAAGAAAATCAAGAAACTAGTTGGGATAGCTTTTGCTTTTTATAAAAGAGTTTTTTAGAGGAAACCACCTTAGGTTAGATTTCTATAAAAGCTCTTTCAATCTGATAATGTAATTTTAGAAAATTAGCCAAACGAACTCAAAAGCAGATTTTTAGTCTCAAAAGCTACTTTTGACTTTTCAAAAGTCATGCCAAACATGCCTTTACTATATATCTGTAGTTTGATACCAACCATATTTCATCTTGAAAGAGACGAGTCATATCCCCCCCTTCTGCCTTGTGTTCTTTTGATCCCTTCCTCCATTCTCTTACTATTTTAATTAAGCACTTTAGCTGTGGAAGCACGGAGTGCAAAAACTTTAAACAATATGTGAAAATGTGGCCATATATGCTACCGTAGAAACCTCTAATTCAGGAATTTTTCCTTTCTTTTTCTAACATTAGGGACACTTCTGGGTCTTTCCAAGGATTATCCAGACCCACTTCTATAAAAACTTAACGACAAGGTTATCAGTCATTTCCTGAACATATATGGGATTGGAGTTCTACAACTTTCTACAGGGTAGATTGTGGACTTTGGACTATGATCTTTTAGTCTCTGTTCTTACATGAACCTCAAACTGAAGGAAAAGAAGAAGCAGATATTGACTCTTTTTGTTGGCTTTCCCAATTAATGTGTGAATCAAAATTGAAGGATGTGAAAAGAATGCATCTATTATGTGTTTGTTTCTACATATGGGCTTTTACCATGACTTCTTTTGCGTTATTTTCTTGCATATTGGTATAGATAGCCATCCTGGAATGATCATTATTTAAATTGATGTAGGTGGACACCTTCGCCATGCTTTCATTAGGATAGGGTTTCGAGAAAGGCCCAAAGCTTATGACTTCCAATCTGCCCTCCATGACCATATGAAGTATTTTTTCAGTCCTTCGTATTCTTATTTTCCTTAATCCTTTTCATTTTTCGAATGTTTTTTCATTTATTCAACTTTTGAAGGTACTTTAATAAGAAGAAAACTGTTGAAGAGATGGAATAGCAACACCAAAATACTTCTTCAGTTGATTACAATTTAAAAGATGGGGTGACCTTGGTGTTTCAATTAAAGAACGTAAAGTGCTCTTGTATTGTCTCTACATATTTTTCCTATAAATGTATATACAGTAGCTTATACCCTTATTTGTGTTCAACAGAAAAGTAGTGGCAACATAAAGTCCAAGTTCTTTGAGCAAATGTTCAATAATCTTTCCTTAGATGACAAGGGTGCCAAGAAAGAATCAGCAATAGGTATCAAATTGCCACCACCCCCATCTGCCCCTCCTTTCGCCTGCTGTTACACCTCTAAATTCTCCCTCAGGATCTCCCACCAAATTCACTCTCGAGAAAACTCCTAAAGACAACTCATCGATCCCCGAGAAAGAACAACCAAAAGAATCAGGATCTCATGAATCCCAAAATATTCAAGATATACCATATGATGATTTTTGAGATTTTCAAGCAGCTGGATAACTTAATCTTGGAATTTGATCTCTTTATACTTAAATTTTATGAGTTGTTTCCATGTTTGAAGGGGTTTACTAATATATAGAAAGTAATAATGGTTTTACATGCATTGGCATGATGTTTTTTATGTATCATGTATTACATACTGTGTTACTACATGTCTTTCTTTCTTAGTTCTGCAATTCCTTGTTTAACTGGTACATTACATTAGAAATTTACTACATAGTAGACAAGTATGTTGTATCAATTGCACCGAATTCCTAAATGATGCTCCAGTAGGTGGTTTACACTTGTGACATGTCAGACATACAACATTTGGTCAAGACAAGAGACAGGAATTTTGTTTTTCTTTTTCGTGTTAGTGTAATGATTTCAACCTGTCAAACATGTCTCTAGGCACCCAATATCAATATTTTTAGATTTTACGAAATCTAATTATTGTTGACATTTTTTTTTCATTATACGAGTACATTACAGGTTCATGCTAGTAGTAGTACGTTTATTTCACCGTAGTCCCCATGTTATAGGAGTACGAGGGATTACCTTTTTGTGTGTGAGGCTCGAGTTCTCTCCTTACAAAACTTCTTGATTTTAGTGGAAAATCTATAGCAATGAGTGGAAGGATACCCAAAACACATTCCAATAACCGATCATTAGGACAAAACAAAGCTAATTCCAATCCAACTTATTCAAAAATAAAACAAATCCACATTGAATAGCATTTTCACTTAGATCATGCGACAAAGGACGGATAACTCAATAAAGGAAAGTACCTAGAAAATGTCTCTTATTCAACCATCACATTTTTTGATATGTAACATTTTACACCCTCATAGTCTAAGGTTTTTTATGATCTTGAGATCAAATTTTGCACTCTCACTCTCACTCACACTCTCACTCACAACATCAAGATTTTCAGGCTCTTATGAAATTAAAATTGTTGACAATAACATATTCAATCTTAAGAACTCTCAGAGCATCTCTAATGCAATTTATGGATAACCGTATAGGTACATGGAAGTAAAAAAATTTAGTATTTGATTATATATATATATATATAACTCAACATCAAGATTTTCAGGCTCTTATAAATTTCAAGTTTGTTGACAATAACATATGCAATCTTAAGAACTCTCAGAGCATCTCCAATGCAATTTACGGATTACAGTTTAGGTACATGGAAGTCAAAATTTTTAGTATTCTATTGATTGACACATATAAAGCATACTTCAACTACAGTCTAAAAGCTCAGAAAATATAGAGGGCACTACTTTATCGGATGCACTTTTGGATGGAGAGGAAGAAAATGCTTTGAGGAACATTAGAAAGGAGAAAGGCTACAGTTCGGACATGGGAGCGAATACATCTTTGGCCAAATCAAAAAAGCAAGGGACAAAGGTAGTGAGGACATCAGAACGGGTGGTTATTCGCCCCACCAAATTGAATCTATGATTGACACAATGTTATTTTGGAATGTGCAAGGTATATGCACATCTAGGAGGAGGTTAAATAGTTTGGTTAGGAAAAATGTCCCTATTCTTGGGGATCTCGGAACCTTTCATGGATGAACATCGGATGCAAATAGTAGCTAACTTTCTAGGCTTTGAGAATTCTTGTTCAAATGAAGCTATGGGTGGTAAAATCTGGGTGTCCTAGAACAATAAATATGAGGTTGAAATTGTTGGTATGTCTGACCAAATGGTGACAGGATGGTTTCGTGATGGACAAAGAATTTACTAGTCTCTTTTGTTTACGCAAAATGTAGTCAAAGTGAATATAGGAAGCTTTGGAAGAACATGGAGGATTTTCAAGCTAATGATTACCTATGGATAGTGGCAAGAGAGTAGGGATGTGCTAGGCCTAAACTAAACCAAACCGTGAGATAATCGATCGCAAAGAAGCAAGCTATGTTGACTACTTGATCTGCTATTGTGCAGTTAGCCAACATTCGTAAGGATGGGGAAAAAAGTAGGGGCCATCGAAGACCTTTGTCGGTGATGGGGAAATTTAAAGACCTCGAAGAGAAAGTCGAGATGCTGGAAAATCAGTGGCAAAGTGGCTTTGATCCGGATTTAGAGGCTAAGCTTCTTACCACTAAGGTCAAGTTACAGCTTTGGGAGAAAAAGGAAGAAACGAGACTAGCACATCAAAGAAAAAAAGAAGAAATGGCTTGCAAAAGGAGATTAAAACTTAAAATTCTTTCACATAGTTGTTAATCAACAGAGAAGGTCTTCACAGATCTCTTCTATGCAGTTGCCTGATGAACAGTGTTAGCTTCGCCAAAAGAGGTTCATGATGGTGCTGTTAACTATTTTGAACAAATTCTGCGTGACAATGGGACTACGGAGCAAGGAGACTTGGCTTCCTAATCTCTGTAGTTGTAACAAAGGAGGAGAATAAATTCCTTTGCATAGAACCAACGGAAGAAGAGGTGAAGGATGCAGTTTTTTCTATACCATCAGAGAGTAGTCCTAGGCCTAATAGATTTGGAGCTAGTTTTTATACGTTGTGTTGGGACTTAGTAAAGGTCGAATTGGTGGAGGCAGGAAGAGAATTTTTCAAGGGCAGTCATCTACCCTAATTTTACACCTCTTCTTTCATTATCCTAATTCCTAAAGTGGATCAACCTGGGAGTTTTGACAAGTTTAGACCTATCAGTCTATGCTTAGTGGTTTACAAAGCCTTTTCAAAGATCCTTATCAAACGATTGACAAGACTGCTGCCAAAGATTATCTCTCCTAAATAGGGCGCATTCATTTCAGAGAGAAGCATTTTTTTGAGAATATCACCCTTACCGAGGAAATGGTCTCTTTGAACAGGAAGATCAGAGGTGGTAACGTTATGCTAAAAATTGACATGACAAAGACTTATGATAGAGTAGATTGGAGGTTTTTGCTACGTGTGCTTGAAGGATTTGGTTTTTCTAGAAAGTTTTGTGATTTGGTGGCGGAGTGTGTCACAACTCCTTAGTTCTCTATATTGATGATGGGACTTATAAAGGTTTCTTCCAATCAAGTAGAGGACTCTGTCAAGGCGACTCTTTGTCTCCTTATTTGTTCATCATGATGGAAAAGGTTTTATCACACCTTTCTAGCAAGAGAATGTGAAGATGGCAACATTGGGAGGTTCTACATCCTTTTGGGGGCCCTGTGGTTTCACATTTGCTATATGCGGATAATGTAGCAGTGTTCAAAGATGGAGGTAAAAGATCAATGGAAACACTTATGAGGACTCTAAATACATATGAAAAGTGGTCAGGACCATTTATTAATATTGAGAAATCCGTCATCTTCTTCACTAAAAGGATCAGCTACACAAGGAAGAGGGGCTTGCTTCCGTTAATTGGTTTTACTGAGAGACATTTTCCAGTGGTTTACTTAGGAGTGCCTATCATCTCTGGTCGAATTACGGCTAGGCATTTGAAGGATTTGGTATCCAAAATCCGCATCAAGATAGCAAGTTGGAAAATGAGGTTACTTTCTCAAGGGGGTCGCCTTAATTTACTTTGTCATGTTCAGTCTTGTATGGTGATACATTTGTTAGCTATGGTTAATGTGTCGAAGAGAATCCTTAACAATATGAACTCATTACTATCCACATGCTTTTGGAATGAGAATTATGGAATACAGAAAAAGAAATGGCATGCTTGGTCTAAAGTATGTTTACTAATTACAGAGGGCAGACTTGGAGTACGTGATTTTGCGGCAATTCAAAATTCTCTCCACATGAAACTTGGATGGTGGATTATGACTACTAACAGTTTGTTGTCCAATTTCTTTGATGCTGAATATGTAAAGAGTAGAGACCTCTTGCTGAATTCTAATCACAGGGGATCTAGCTTGTGGAAAGCAATCGTAATGGTTCTACCTGAGGTATATGAGAATTCGAAATGGAGGATCAAAGAAGGATTGATATCCTTTTGGTATGACCGCTAGTTAACAAATGGCCCTTTAATTGAGCATGCTTTGGAGGAAATTAACTCAAGACGAAGGTCATAGATTGCTGGATTGAAGATGGCTGGAATATCACTTACCTTAAAGAGCTAGTGGGAGAGGAGAATGCAATAGAAGTAGTACAAACCATTGGGGCCAGAAAAGAAGGTAGTGATATGATAATATGGAAACCGAATGACAAAGGAGAATTCCCTTCTTCAAGCGCCTGGGATATTGTGAAGACAAAGAGTCTACAGATTTCTTGGATGAAATGGATATAGGATAAAACTCTACCAAAAAAAGTTGCTGTTTGCATGTGGAAAGCTAAGTTGAACTGCTTAAGTGTGGATTCTAAGGTGAGAGAAACAGGAGTTACTCTTATCTCACGTTGTGATTGTCATGATAAAGGACAAGTGGAAACACTTGATCATGTACTCAATGCTAGGGATATTGCAAAGGCAGTTTGAAAGTGGGCTTCTTTGGCCTTGGAAGTACACTACGTGCAAGCACAATCATGGTAGACAAGAATCAACAGATGGTTTACATGTGCAGACAAACCTCACAACATGGAATTTTAATTGGGCATTTACCGAGCTTGATAACATGGAAGCTATAGGGATGTCATAGCAAGGTACGCATGGAAGGGGTTCAAGAATCCATGGAGGAGGTTTGGTTTGCAATAAAGGT